TCAGGGTACCTCAGTGGTGCCTTGCTGGTCAGGGATTCGAACCTGCAATCTTTCAATTACAAGTGCGCTTCCCTAACCATCAAGCCACCACTGCCCACCAGGGCGCCAACTGCACTGGGCAGTAGAGGTGCACCGTTCCCAGAAGCACTGCAATACGGGTCGATGCGTGGAGCGGACGGGGCAAGCCCCACTTCCGGCTCCTTGTTCCAAAAATCCGTTTAATATGTGGACCCCTCCATGGGGGACGTATCAGATATTAAACTGATAAGAACAGATACTACACTTGATCTCAGCCAAAAGGCTGAGAAGCGACACCTCAAGACATCAGACAGAAAGGTGAAACCTGGTCATCACTTTATCTTCCAGTAGGTCAGTGATACTAAGGATGCCTCCAAAGCCGTAATAAAATGACATAAGGAAAGAGTGGAAGCACTAGAGTAGCCATCACAAAAAGCCTGAGCCGAATGCCATCGGTCATTGGGGACAGAGGTGTAGAAGCAGGTCTGAACAAGGGGGCGCTACTGAGCCAGCCGTCACCAAAAGCAGGAAGGGATCCCAGCACCATACTGTGAGAAGCTTGTGCAAGGTGACCCTAAGCGTTTGGTTCATCAATTAAATGGCGATGCCACTAAATGCTAACAAAGAGTACAGTGTAATCACAGGTCAGGAGACACACACACAGCCCAGGTGCTGCTACCTGTAGCCCCTTAGTAAAAACGAGGCTTGCTCATTAATGAGGTTAATTAGGGCTTTAGGAGGCTGAGTGTGGCATCACCTGAGGCTTCTCTGGGCTAATGATGAGGCTGGGGAACCCCGACAAAAAAAATAAGAAAACCTTACTAATATGACACAGTTAATGTAGAAAAAGGAAATAGGTTGTTCATCTAGATGCTGTAAAAAGGTACTTTCATATATGCATGTTTTTAGGCTAATATGTACTTTCACTCTGTGGAGGAGTCACTTTCATTGCCTACCCTCTAGGGGGCAGTGTTGTGTCAAGAATGGGGTGTGCAGCCCCAGATTGAGAATGGAATGTGCACTTTTTCAGCTAAGTAGCTGGGCTGAAGCCACTGAGGGTTGTAGGACAGGGGTGGCCAGGGCACCGCCCACAAACATTCTCATTACAAACCCCGGGGACCAGGCTGGGGCATCACAAAGCCCTCATACTGCCTCCTCCTGGCTCTCTCAGTAGGCATGGCATTTTGTGGAAGCTCACTGGTTTGGATCCCATCAGGGAACACTGGTGAATGGGGGTGGGCAGCCAGACCTCCCCATACTGGATAAATAAACCTTGATCTCATAAAAAGTTGAATTTATCTGTAGACAGCTGAGTAGCGAGACTGGCATGTTCCGAACTGCACACACATGCACAGATGCCAGTGTTTCCCCTAGGTTTACAGGGGGGGGACAGACAGACACCGTCAGGATTCATGGCGTTCATGGGTTTCTTTTAACGACAGCAGTCAATATAGCAACTGAACTAAACATCAGAACAGTGTAATAAATATTCACTTGCCACTAGAGGGCGATATTGGAACCTCGGTGAACAACAGGTTTGGCTGCCACCACCTTTAATTACACTCCGGTCTGGTCCGGTAGGTTAGAACGCTCCACTCAGAATCAGGCAAACTGAAGCAATAACAATCCTTTATTATTCAATTAGTTAAAAAAAAAATGGGCTCACGTTGGCTACCCCGCAGCCCACAATTCCCCCGCATACACTAAGGGCGTCTGATAAGACAGCACAGCACCCGTGAAATAAGTTAGGCTGCGATCTCAAGCTGGGTCAAAACCTGTCACCCGGTGGTGATTGGACTTCTGCTGCTTGTTAGGGGCAGGGCATGCAGCATTTGGGCTGTTTTTGAGATTCTGTTCTTGGACCCGGAATAGGAGAGCTACTCCGGCTGCCACTCCGGCTGCTACTCCGACTGCTACTCCGACTGCTACTCGCAGGAGAGCGAGTGTTGTCATTTTCACCACCCTGGGAGCGTTTAAAAAACGCAGATATGTTACTTTTCAGGTGGTTGACGCGACATATTATCCGCCGCGCGCTTTGTCCGCTGGTGGGAGTGTGCTCACCTGTGCGTGCACGTGTCTGTGTGCGCGCATCGGGGCGGAACTCCGCCATGCGTAATACAGAGAGCAGAGGAGAATTGTAAACGCCCCACCGTGTAGAGACAAAAATAACAAGCTGTTGTGTAAATAAGATAAATAACATAAGGCTATTTAGTTTGTTTAATAAAAGGACAATGTATAGACCTATTCTATAGGAAAGGTAACCTTAAATGACTTCTGTTGTGATCTGGAGCTATATAGAAAATAAAATTAAATAAAATTAACTTGACCTTCAAGGGGGGGCGGGGCGCCCCCCTAATATAATGGTAATGGCAACACTGCATGCATACTTTTATTCATACCTGCCCCTTTTAAAATATGCATATAGATGGGGGGGGGTTCACTGGGGGCATGCTTGAGATGGATCACACTGAGCCAGCCTCTGGGGAACACATCTGAATGATGACTGAACGTGGTGTGATGACTGAACATGGCGTGATGACTGAACATGCTGTGCTGGGGGTCGCTCATCTGAGGGCGGGGGGGGGGGGGGCTGGCAAGCAGCACCCACAGACACTGTGGCCGTCCTGTGCAGGAGCCCGCTGAGATGTCTGCATTATAACCCACAGCTTACATGGGTCACCAGGACAGAAAGCTCATATTTCACTAAACACCCCCCCTCAGTATTATCAGAGCACTCAGATTTACCCACCCTGCTTCCAAAGACTCACCAGAGTCAGGGTTCTCAGGCTGAATCACACAGTCCAGTCACACACTACAGACTATTCAGATACACTAATTAGCCAAACTGCAGGTCTCTGCATGGCGGGAGGACACCGGAGTACGTGGAGGAAACCCACGTGACACAGGGAGAACAGGCAAACTGCACACACGCATTGTAAATCACACGCACACCCCTGGGGTTGTGAGGCCACAGAGCTGCCCACTGCAGCATGTTTATATACACAAAGCATTTCTCACACAGGCACATTTTATATATGACACACAGAGAAACATGAGATTTCTCCCATGATTCCCAGCCCCTCACTCCCTCACCGGTTCGATGTGCAGGGCATTCCGGTAGCTTCCGAACAGTGCGGCCTGCGCTTTGAGGAATGCACGGGCCACGCCGTCCCCTGTGGTGGTGGACACCTTCTTCAGCCGGCTCTTCAGGGAGGAGACCTTGGGGGGCGGGGGGGGGACAGATCACATGTTCAGGGCAGACTCGGAACGTTCTCCGCACACCGCGCACAGACTCGGAACGTTCTCCCTACACTAAGCATACACTCAGAGCGTACTCCCTGGACTGAACGTAAACTACACACAACCTGCACACTTAAAATTACACATATCACATTACTGACTGAGTTAAAGTGTGTTACGGCTAGGGCTGGGCGATATATCAATATTATATCGTGCATGTGCAATAATCACCAGGGCTTCAGATGACAGGCTCAACATTTGACCAAGCACTAGCTTTTCGGTGCTATACGGACATTTATGTATACCCACAACTTGTTAAGCAGTTTAGTAGTATGGCTAAAATATTAATGAGCCTTTGTATGACACCCAAAAGTCATTGTTAGTATAAATACGGCATATCCTTATGTTTAACACTTTGAACTGCAAAAAATTCCACCACACCGCCAACGTCTTTTTACCTTGTTTATCCAGAAGATCTCCTCTTTTAAAAGATGTCGTGGCTGCTCTTCTTCACCGCGACTTCAGTGCATATTGCATACCAAACCGTAGTATAGCAAACCGTAGTATAGCAAAACAGTATTATGTGGGATGCTCCGCTAATCGAATTTAAGAAACATAAAGTTTATACAGATTACTAGCTTTTGGGTATCACAAAACGCATCTCATTAATATTTAAGCCATACTACTAATCTTTTTAGCAAATTATGGGCATAAATAAATGTCCGTATAGAACCGAAAAGCTGGCGTTTGGCCAAATGTTGCGCCTGTCATCTGAAGCCCTGGTGATTATTGCACATGCGCGATATAATATCGATATGATATCACCCAGCCCTAGTTACGGCACATTTTTGTTTCAACTGTGACCCTCCCTCTGACTTTCATCTGCTAATTAAGCAGACTGACAGCCCCCCCCCAACTCCAATGAAGGTGGAGGAGAGGAGTGCTTACATACACTGTGGGTTTTGGTGGCCTGGTCTCATTCTGGTCTCCCACAGCTGGACCAGCAGAGTCTGTATGGCCTCTGGTACCTTTATAATGTGAAGGTGAGCATGAGGGACCTGCAGGTTGTTCTGACATCACACTCTCCACTACATGTACTTTGAGTCTCTCTAATCCGAAAACAGCTAAAGAGGATTCGGTTCAATTTGATTTAATCTAAGGGAAGCTGAGCCTCCCCAGTCCCTGGCTCTCCATCTTGGAGAAAGCCAATGGCAGAAGAGGAGGCAGAGGAACCTTCACAGAAGGTTTAAGAGACCAGGCTGTCCAGCAATACGGGATCAGGCAGGTAGAAGCTGCCTCAAAAGGTGTGAGTGTGGGGAAGGAACTGGGCGAAGAGGGGATGGAGATGAGGGTACCAGGTGTGGTGGATGGATGGATGGGTGATGGGGTACAAAATGTGGGCCTGTGTGGGAAATGTATGGCAATATTTCCTGTTTTCCCTCAAGCTCAGGTAATCATCACCATGACGTTGCCATGTGACGAACATGGCCGCCGACTTCGGCCTGGACTCAACACTGCCCCAAACACTGCACGACTGGACCATCGTCACCCCAAGTCTGTACTTTGAGACTGAGACTGGGTCAGAGGTGACAGTCGTCACACGGTCTCAGTCTCAGTCTCGTCTCCAACACCTGAAACAGTGGCCCGTCATCATCCTTACTCCGAGTCTGTGGTTTACAGATAAGGCCTTCCCCATTGGCTGCCAATGGTTGTGTTGCTGGTTTTTTGCTCATTTATACACCAGTAATTCATAGTCATACTTATTATTGTCTTTGAAGGGGTCAGTGATTATGTAATTTAATTACTCTATTTACATCTGCCACTTTTAATATGTAATGTGCTTTGTGACAAACTTGCCTGAAGTATGATACTTATAATACAAGCATAAGTAATAGATAAACAAAAAGATAGAAAGCCAGACAGACAAGACAAAGAGTACAGGACAGACAGGACAGGACAGGACGGAATAGACAGAAATGCAGAAGAAAAATGGTGCAGGAGAGGTTAGAAAGTATAAGACCAGAAAGACGAGACAGGACTGATGAGACAGGAGAGGACAGACAGGATATGAGGGGTTAGACTGGACTAGACAGATGTGACAGAACAGATGAGAGAACAAATGGCACTAGACTAGACAGGAGGAGTTAGACAAGAGAAGACTGACAAGCTGGTGGTGGACAGAGTGGGGAGGACAGACAGGACAGGAGAGGTTAAAGAGGATAAGACAAGTAAGATGAGACAGAACTGATGGGACAGGAAAGGACAGACAGGAGAGGATTGACAGGACTGGAAAGACGCAACCAGAGAGGACAGACAGTGCCTTGTGGTGCACTCCACTTACCACATCACTGGGAAGGCTTTGGAGGTCATCAAAGGGTGTCTCCAAGGTGTTGGTGTCAACATTTAGGATGACCACATCCTCCAGGGCTACACCCTTCAGCTTCTGCAAGGAGACAGAGCAGAAAGAGGCTAAGCAAACAGGCGCTCAACGCTATGCTGCGTCGTAACCCTGACAGCAATCCTGGCATCAGAATGATACAGAACAGTCCATCAAGGAGACATGGGCCTCTCACCTCCATCAGGCTGGAATGCACTCCGATAAGGTAGGGCATGGGGGCACTGAAAGAGAACAGAGAGACTTGAACATATGCAAAGTGTAATATGCAGACGTGGATACATAAACATACACACATATAAAAGCACTAAGGAGACAGATGGACATGAAGAGGCACTACGGAGAGACAGAAACAAGCATAAAAGTGGAGACAGACCAACACAAATGAATGTCAAGGGGTGCCATGAAGACTGACGTACACAAATAAACATAAAATGAAAGCAGTGGAAACAAGCAAATACAAATGAACGGGATTGGGTACAAAGGTGACAAGATAGTAACAAACAAACATAGAGCAGCTTGGAGACAGACCAATACAAACGAATGTGTAGGGGTGCCATGAAGAGTGAAAAATACAAACAAACATAAATGCAAGCAGTGGAGACAGGTAAATACAAATGAACTTGAAGGGGTACAAATACAAATGAACATGAAGGGGTACAAAGGCCACAAGACAGTCACAAACAAACATAAGAGCACCATGGATACAAGCAGACACAAACGAATATGAAGTACCAGGAAGACTGACAGACACGAATAAATGCAGGCGGTGGAAACCGACAAATACAAAACGAACATGATGGGGTGACAAGACAGTCACAAACAAACATAAAAGAATGTCTTGGAGACAAATACAAACAAACATAAAGGGATGCTATAGACACAGATGGACACAAAGAAAGAAAGAAGCACTGCAGAAACAGACATACACAACTGAACATGTGGCCTGAGGGTGTGCTTTGGAGACAGACAAATACAATCAAATGTGAAGAGAAGCCATGGAGACAGACTGACGCAAACAAATGCAGGGGTGGTATTGAGACAGGGACAATAACTGAAAAGAGCGCTCTGGGAACAGATAAATACAAACATAAAAGGGGCACTATGGAGAGAGGCACAAACAAACAAAAGACACCATGGAGACAGATCGGTTCAAACAAATATGAAGTGGCGTCATGGAGATGGACAGATGCAAAAGGACATAAATGAACGTGGTGGAGACAGACAGACAGACAAATATGATGGGATGCCATGGAAACAGATGGACACAAATGAGCATAAAGGAACACCGCAACGAACGATATCAACGAACAATATAATAGAGCATTGAGCATGGAGACTGACACAGAAACAAACATGTGGCTTGAAAGGGCGTCGTGGAGACAAACATATATGGCCAGACCCGCTCTGTCCAAACCGTCACGGCACGGTTGTGTAGCACACAGATGGTGGACAGTGAGGGTTACTGAAGCCTGGGCTTCAACACATGAACAAAATAATTGGCTCATTTTGTGCCCCCCTCACCCAGCCAAATATAACACCACTAATTAAGTAACACCACTAATTAAGACCGGGCCCATCAGGTTGCCAGGAGATTAAAAAGGCACGCTTTCAAGCGCAGCCACCTGAGGCACGCCATCCCATTCACGAAAGGCAGGCTAATGACTGTCCACATAAGCAGGGAGAATCACACTAATTGAGCCTTACACTGCGCACCATTAACCTATCGCTTTCTTGTGCAGAATTGTTAATTAGCCTATCTGTGGAAATTACCAGTGTCACTAGAGGGATTTTTAAAGACAGATCATACGGCGTTGGTAAGGAACAAACCTCCACAGGAAGACGAAGACGAACTAACGAGCAATCATGACATAAATTAATGCAGCCTGGCAACACAGCTACACTTCGGCTGCCCAAGCTGATTTATTATTCTGTTTTTGAGGATTTGGGCGTCACAGACAGGTTAGATGGGGAACCATGCCACCCCCCCATCCCACCCAACTGAAGGTTCACCTAGAACTATCCCTACAGCCCCCAAGGGAAGTCTAGCAGGTCCACACCATCCGCTAATTATGTGAGTAAAGCGCATTAGAAAGCGGCTGGACATCTGCTGAGGGAAAACCGGGGGGGGGGGTTGGAATCGCACGGGGCCCTGGGCTGCATTCCCCAGGATGGAGGGAGGACTGTCCAACCCATTCACGCATCAGGCAAAGGTACAGCGAGCAGAAGCACACAAACTGCTTTTGGAACATTCTGGGTGAAAATTGACACGGATATCGAACTGCTGTAGGTCTGGGTACAGAAACTCCCATTTTGTCCCATGTCAGTGACACTTACAGAATTTGCTGCAACTGCATGTTATTCCGGATGGCTCTGGGTGGGGCACTATAGGTAGATGAGCCGGTCCCCAGAGACAGGCCCGGTATCAGAGAAACCCAGAAGGCCAGTGGGGTGACTGATACCAGCGAGCGGTAGAGAGAAACAACAGCTGGCCCACCCACCCCAGCCAGACAGACAGGCAGGCTGGCAGACAGGCAGGCAGACAGACAGGCAGACAGACAGACAGGCAGGCAGACAGACAGGCAGGCAGGCAGACAGACAGGCAGACAGACAGACAGGCTTCCATACTCACCAGCAGTAGTCTATAAGGTGCTGAGGGAGGACGGGAATGTAAACATGCTGCCAGTACATGGGGTAGAGCATGGCCGCAGAGCCGTGGACACAGGCCGTTAGCTGTGAAACAAACACAAGGCACAGAGGAGACCGAGTGCTCGAACCGCAGAAGCCTGCAGCTCTGTGCATTCATATTCAATGACAAGCCATATTAAGAATTACAATTAATTAAGGTTCATAATAAAGGAGACACGGTATTGGCTCAGCGGGTTATGGTGCTGTGTCTGTGATTGGATGATCCCACTGACAGAGTGATGTCACTGCTGGGCCTGAGCAAGGCCCTTAAACTGCAGCTGCTCCAGAGACTGTATGACCCTGCTTTCTCAAAAACATGTGATTCAAGATATAAGCATTTAATAAATATAAAAGAAATATTTGTTCTCTGAATTGGGGGCGCGGTCTGACAAGTAATACTATCTGTCCCTGGGAGGTACACAGGAACTGGCTGAAGGGAAAGCGACAGCAGCAGCACCAACCAATGCTCCACAGGGGGCGCCGTTGGGAAGGCCCGGCTAATTGCGTTCACAGCCGCAAACAGGTGGCGTGTGGTGAGACATGCCTTCTAGCGGCTGCTGATACAGGTGTGTCAGCCAAGGGTGCAGAGGGAGGAGGGAAAGCTGAAACATCTTTTGCCAGAACAAATTACCGCCTGGCTGTGAGAAATTTAAACTGATTACAACCATACACTGTGAACATGACTGTTCTCTGGCTCCCTCTGCAGACCAGAGGAGGACTAACCTCCACAAGATTAAGGAACTGAACAGTGAGCTGAGCCTGGTGCTCAGCGAAATGGGGTCATTTTAAATAAGCTTAAGGAACTGAACACAAGCTGAACATGGTACTCACAGTGCTGAGTTTACTGGAGGAGATGATGATCCTGCGCTCGTACAGCATGCTAGCATACAGGTGTAGCATGTTATTCACATCAACCGCCACAAAGTACTCTGTCAGGTTCCTCTGGAAATAGATATGGACGGGGGGTGGGGGGGGAAGGTCAGCTGCAGGGGCAGTCCACACTACATGAATAGACTAACAGTCACTGGAATTTTCCAATTATTCTGTAATTCTAACATTTAAGTAGTGATGCAACCACTTGAGACATTTCCGATGCATTTTTGGATTTCTACGTGCTTGTGTGTGTAAATACAAGGACATTGTGTGTGTGAGTATCAATGTGTTTACATCAGTTTAGACAGCTCATGTCACCAGGGAGGCAGGAAAGCACATGATGAATGCAGGTCAGGGTGCTGCACTGGTGTCGTTCTACACAGAAGCCAACATCATCACCATGATCACAATATGACAACATAAAGGGACCATCTCATGCCCCACTACGCTGCCCTACCAGACACTTTTGTGGGTCTGCATGACACAGT